ACAACGTAAGAGATGATTTATCGTTGATACATCGGCTGGGTAGGAATTTTTCGGTCAACAGGGCATATAATTTTTCCGGATCAACAGTGACACAACCTGTCAGAGAGGCGATTTTCTGCGGTTTGATTTTATTCGAGTCTGAACAAATAAACCCACCAGGATCCCATAATAAAACCCCCATAAGCACGTGCACGCAAAGAGTGTGTGAAAGCAACACGGAATTTCGGCTTCCGACAAATCAGCCCAAAAAACATTCATGCTACATCACGTTTGCAATTTGCTCCTTGTCTTTGTTTAACTTGCTACACGTTAATTTGCATCTTTCTTCAGCTTTCTTCAAGTAAAATCTGAGTGGATATTCGGTGAATGTTAGCTTCGATGATTGTACCACTTCATTATACTTTTATACTGTTGCTAATATTGATATATTGCATGGTCTTTGTTGCTGCTTGGTCTAACGTGCAATTCTTTACCAAATCGTAATAGGGTCAATCATTCACGAAAGTCTCTGTGTCAACTTTCTGTGGCATGATTCATGTTGGCAAAGCTTCGAGAGCAGCACCGTAGCTATCTTAAGCGTGCAGACCAAAACAAGGCTGCCTTCTCATTTAAACTCGATTTCAACAAACAATCTTCGTTATCTGCAAAACAGTCTATAAACGCCGTTATTTCAGGGATATAATCATTCATCTTAGAAAAGATCTCACACACTCGTTCTATGTACCAAACGGAGAGAGAGCTAGGAGTATTCCCAATTCTACTGTTTCTATAGTTGCACCCTGCAGACTGACAAAGCAGTCAAGTAGGCTGCTTTGGAAGCATTCGAAAGTTTTAATGATCACGCGCTCGAAATCAGTCAGTTGATTGTGGTAGCAAGTTGCATTCCAAGTGGCTTAAAGCATCCAAAATTCAGGTGTAAGTTTTCTTCTCAATCAGCAGTGCAAAAATTAATGGACTGTACTGCAAAGAAAACATGCAACTGTTTAACAGTTTTAAACGTTCACTTGTGACAAGAGGTGCAAGTTGTTTCTAATAGCAAAAACTAAAATGCAGCCTTTGCCAGGTCAGTTATTGCGATATGGATAGACGGAGTATGTTCTACTGCTGCTTTTGCGCCATTCAACAAAATTATGGAATGTGAGAAAAAGCCAAAATCATGGAGGCAGAGTATTTTGATGCAAATGTACAAAATGAAAAGCGACATGCTTCCTGTGAAAACTACCGGGGAATAATACTGCTTAGTCACAATATGAAGCTATAAGAGAGGGTGCTGGACAAAAGATTGAGGAAGGAGATCGACATCACCATTGGCTTTATGCCAAGCAGATCAACCACGGATGCTATCTTCGCTTTAAGATCAGTTCTCAAAACATACAGAGAAGGCAGACAACACATTCACATTGTGCTCCCAGATCTGGAGAAAGCCTGTTATTGAATGCCGAGGCAAAAAATCTGGTGGAGCATGGGAATGAAGCCCATGCCAGAAAAACACGCCAGGCTTACCAAAGACATGTACGACAGAGTGGCAACGATAGTCCGAAATACACGTGGCAGAGTTCTCTGTGCGAGTAGGAGTCCATCAAGGATCCGCAGTGAGCTTATTTCTGTTTTCGATGGCGACAGACACGATAACTGAGGATCTGCATGTAACAGTCCCATACTGCATGCTCTATGCAGATGATACTGTGCTCTGCAGCGAAAGCAGAGAAGCTGTAAAATCAAAAACTGAGGCATGGAGAACAGCTCTTGAGAAGAATGGCCTTCGACTCAGCAAAGGCAAGCCAAATATATGGCGGGCTATTTCGGTAGGGAAGGGAAGGGGGACAGGCTGAAAGAGTCAAACAAGTGAAAGTAGTTGGAGCTTGTTGCCTCAAACCCAAGAATTCAAGCGCCTTGGTTCTATCCTGCAAGATAACGCAGAAATCGACAGCCACCTAAGAAATCGGTCGAAAGAAGCTTGGATCAAATTGAGAGAAGTGAGCGGAGTACCGCGAGACAAGGAGATGCTCATTAGACTGAAAGGGAAGGTGTACAGAACGATAGTAAGAACGGTGCACCTGTAGGGAGCGGAATGTTTGGCTACACTGAAGAGACATGAGAAACAGCTGAACTCGACAGAAATGTGAATGTTCAAATGGATGTGTGGCGTCAGTAGAAAAAACCACATCCGTAACAGCTGCATAAGAGGCACTCTAGGGGTAGCACCAATTTCAGAAAAGCCCATCGAAAGCAGGCTCCGTCGGTTTAGTCAGATGAAAAGAAGACCCATCGAGTACGTTGGAAATGTGGTCTAAGTACTGATACTTCCGGAAAAGAAAAAAAGAGGAAAACCGAAGAAAAGGTGGAGCGATGTCGTCAAGAATGATATGAAACTGCGAGGAGCCTCAGAAGATCTAACGAACGATAGAAAATGTGGAGGAAGTTGACTCGATTAGCAGACCCTTGTTAAAAGGAACACGCTAGGAAAAAACAGAAGAACGTCACATTTGCCACCTATATTATAAATCGTATTTTCGTCGAAAAAATCAGGTAATCATGCAAATTAGAGTAGAAGGGGTGCAAGGCCATCGCAGTACTGTGTTAACTGGACAGATTAATGCTCCCGTTTTCATTCTCCTGAATGCTAGCTCCTGGTGCTAAAAATTCTCAATTTCCAACTTTTTAAGATCCATTCATATACTGACCGATCAGCTGGAAGTATAAAAATCTCGTCTTGGGTCAGGTTGATTCGTATTCATGCCATATCGTAAGTGTAAGAGAACTTACCAACTATTGACGTTGGAAGCTACCAGTGGAGAAAGCGAAAAAATAAGGTAATCCCTTCCTTTCTTTTTGCACTTAAATGCGTTCCAAAAAATGTTGCAAGTCACGGTTTCTCTACAAAAAGCAGAGAAATGCACCTTTCACCGGGTTCGCCTTCCTCAGATTGCTCTCGTCCACAAAGCCAATTCCAGCCGTGAACATAATCGGCTTGAGGTATTCAATGCGGCCGCAGTCGAATCTGGGAATACGTAGCCCAAAAGAGCGGGCAAATCCGCAGATGACCGGTTCACCGAATTTGTTACCATAGTCAGAAGCCCCGTTACTCGCCTCAATGCAGATATCCAACGGAGAGGCAAGCGACCGCGGATAATCCATTGACGGATCTTCCCAAGGCAGTTCGTAGCCTGAAACAATTTTTATCACATCAAAACTGCACATCCGCTATTACCGGGAATGTTTAGACTACCAAAAGAGTAGCCGGCGACACCAGCAATCACAAAAGCTCCTCGACCAGTGGCCTGAACATCACGAATTCGTCCGCCGGTGCCAGTAGCAGCGCCAGGAAATGGACATACACCTAAAGAAGAGACAGTCACTTACTCGTTACACTACATTCCTTACTCAGATCCTTAGACGATAGTTCGAGGGAAAATTGTCATGAAAACAACTGATATGCAATAAACTTTCCAGTCCTCGTCATTTTCAATTTTTAATCTGTTCAATTTTAGAAAATATCAGATTTACCTCTTTTGAAGTCAATGAGGATGAATGAGCTTCATTTACAATGCACATTTCTAACGACGATGCAACAACAAAACTTAGTCGTACTCTACCTGTAGGAAAATTATGCGTCTCAGCAGTTAGAAGGATATGCCTGAGGTTTTTGTTGATTCGGTACTGCAATCCATTTGGTGCAGAACTTGGAACAAGTGAAGAAACAGAGTATCCGTGAATCGCACTGAATCAAAATTAAAATTAAGCGTATCCACACATCAGAAAAACACTCATTTCTTGTACCTGCTGTTATCATTGAATTTTATGACATTATTAGCGTTTGAGTCCTTCTGCGTATCGACCACCATGTCGAACAGGCTACTAGGTTCTTCGATGCAGTCAACAATAAGTCGACCTTTGAAAAACCAGTGGCGGCAGTGTTCGCTAGAATTTATTTTAAACGTTATCGTGACTTGTCAATGAATAATAGAATCAACCGACAAAGAAAGAAGCAATATTTTAATTTCTGAGTTCCTGTTAGAATGACTGTCATTTTTACAAAGCAACGGAATAGAACCCTGCACTGAAATGTTTTTTAAACAAATAAAACGGACTCAAGCAAACGATTTTCATTGCTTTGGATGTATCACTACGGAATCGAACGAGATTACAAGAAGGTGAATCAAAATAAATACCAGCAACGTGATGTAAGGTGAAATAATGATACCAGTGCAAACCATGGCAAAATTAATGTTAGAAACGTTTCTGACAATAGACCATGCACCGACAAATACACGTAGGCGAGTGCTTAATTTATGAAACATATTTTGCATATTCATTTGCATATCTGTTTTAGTTTGCAAATGTTATTAAACGATATGTAAAGATTTCGTCATTTACATAATCAGTGTATATAGTGGTTCTCACTTCAATAAGACATAAAATACAATTACGTTCAAAATTCCGTATTATTTGTGATAACTGAACCTGCACTTACACAATTTGGAAGTTTAATCGTAATCGCAATCTTTAAACTGATTATGCAAACCAAATCTGTATATACCAATAAATTATATTTTCGAAGACTTGAAACAGATTTGCAAATAAAAGGATTTATCAGTTTTACCTTCGGAATGTCATTTTCAATACAAGCCAATGTCGCAATAAATTCAAAACCTTTTCAATACAAATTGCTTTGGGAGTAATATAAGATTCTCATGTCTCATCTTTCTGACGTTTTGGATTTAGGCAAAGAAACCGTCATCATGACGAATTTAAATGAAACCATGTTGTGTCAATCCCAGACCCTCCATTCGACACCTCGTTTAAAAGGTGGACAATTTATCAGTTTTAAAGATATTGCTTGAATTCTTTATGCGCGAATAAAGTTCTTAACCGCCATTCAGGGAATGTAGTCGACAGGAACATTAAATTAAACAAAATCACGACATTTTAAGATGAGTTGGATTCATTTTCAAGGGACATAACAAAACAATAACTGCCACAACAATGTCTGCAGTGAATTTAATACTTGGAATGATTTTGAGAAGTAAATACAATCGATGAATTGTTCATATCAACAATAAACTTGAAGCACGGAAACTGAAATATGCAATTCAGACTTAGTCTTCCTCGCCAACTTTTTAGTCGCTTTCTTCCATATTAATCACAAATCCTCACCACTTTCTCTGCTAAGACATTAACATGCTTGTATCAAAAGCGCATTCTTAATATTCTGCTTCCAGCAGTCTTCAGCCTCTTGCCCGCAGCACCATACCACATTCATGATTTTCTAGTCTACTGAAACACAGTGTACTCAATCAGTGCGCAGTTTCTTTTTCATTCTCGTTTTATTTCTGTCGAGTCCTTTATACGTAACTTAATTCATAATTAATAATGCATTCACATACGTGCATTTTTCGCTGAACGCATTTATGTTTACACCCTCCTATAAGTCGCCAAAATACTGAGTCAGTTTTTAAGGATAAATAACAAGAATCGAATTACATAAGATGTATAACCTAACCATTTACTGCTCCACAGGGGCGGCCCTTTACTAAACGGTAGCACTCAACTATGGAGGATGGTAACTCTGCAGAACCACGCCTTCTTTAGAAGATCCGGTCTGAAACATAACATGGATGACACGGCCATGGATAAAACAGAAACACTCATTCACTTCGATTGCAGAAAAATGTTCTTTAGAATGGTTAAAACGCTACTGATGACTAGCAGGAGGATTGCAATGATATGACTGAAAGAAATCTGGAATCTAGTTGAATTGAAATGGCCGTCAGGACCATCAACAAGAAACGACGACATATAAAAACTGTTATTCAAACAGGAAACAATTCAATACAACCCTCTTTCCACTTACTCGAGCACTTTACTATATTTATATCCCGCACGTTGAACGTTGAAGTACTAGAAGACACCGTGCCTGCATCTAACAGTTACTTTACGTTATTTCACCGTATCTATGTGGTAAAATATGACCCTGGACTTAAATACTTTAATAACAAAATCCCTTTTGAATTACGACGCAAACCGTGTGAATTAATAAATATGCTTCCTTAATTCATTCCAAACAGGAAAGGAAAGGAACGTCCGTGAAAAGTGGAATGTAGGTCTTCCTTCATCTTCATGATTTGCGCTCATCTTTTCACGAAGTTGATTATGTTGTATTAATTTCCGTTACTATGCCATCAGCAGTCTGCCATATTTATAAAAAATAAGAGTCTACATCCATATGGCAAGCATAGCGTGTGGCCTTCTTTTTTCCCTACAGAGTGGTACTACTAATTTATTAACCTCGGAAGAAGAAAGGGCGAGGGACTCTGACCGGTATTGAATTTGGGACCTATCGGTTATGAGTTCGACGTTCTATCAATCGAGCAATCCCGGACGTAAACTATGTGTGGTAAATTCCATGCTCAAGAA